ACACAGAATTTCCACGGTCACTTTAAACTTAACAACCTTTATAAACACAGGCTATAAATCATGGTGATTCACACACTTCACTTACGGTGCCTACTGTTTGCTTGACTCAATTATCTAACTCTATATCTATCTATCTATGCAAGTGCGCTGGTTTTTCTCGCCAGGCTTATATACTAAAAAAGAGGGTGCCTGGCAAACACTCGGAGATTCGCGGGGTTCCTCGATAAGTCGTTATCCTTCTAGAAACTCCAGCGCTCATGCTCCCAACATCGCGTGACTTCTGCTGTCATAACAATATCTAACAGTGAAGTTAAGGTTTGTTTGCTTTGTAATATGATACACATGCACCACAGGAAACATAAAACCCGCGAACATGTGGTAGGTGTTGTTGTGTTTTTTATGTTTGCTGTGGTCCCGCAACACAACAACACCTACCACATGTTCACCACAGCAAACATAAAACCCGCAACACAACAACACCTACCACATGTTTACTACAAGAAACATAAAACCCGCAACACAACAGCTACCACATGTTCACTACAGGAAATATAAAACCCGCAACACTGCAATAGCTACCACATGTTCACTAAAGATATAAATATGCTGATAAGAACAGCACCACGACAGTAAGCTACAACATTCTCATTAAAGATATAAATAGTGATAAGAACAGCACCACAACACTAAGCTACCACATTCTCATTAAAGATATAAATAGTGATAAGAACACCACCACATCAACAAAGTAAATAATAACATCAAGAAATTAATCCACGAACAACAACGAAACAATTGGGACCAATACTGTAAAAGTATCGACCAAAACTACAATGATCCAAGCACTTTCTGGAGGAAGTTTAAAACGTAACGAAAACCCAAGTCTAAAGCAGCACAAACACGATACACTACAAGAACATCACAGCCACTTCAGACACCGAACAAACAAAACCATTCGCACAATACTACTAAGACATGTTTATCACCCCTGATCTAGACACATTCAGTAGAGACCACTTCACAAAAATCAAGAACTACATTAGCAACAACAAGGAACCATTTAACCCAACTTTTCCAGTAAAACTAGATAAAACAGAACACAAAACAACCAAAGACTTCTACTCAAGACCCATATCAGTAACAGAAATCAAACAGACGCTCAAGTCCGTCAAAGCCCCTGGGATGACCAAATCAGCAACCCAATCCTAATGAACCTAAACGACATCGTAATCAAACACCTTGCAGACATCTACAACATCTCACTACAAGCTGGCTATTACCCTAAAGCATGGAAACATGCAATTATTAGAGTCATACCTAAAAAAGACAATGACCTATCCGATCCCAAAACTTCAGACCAATCAGCTTATTGAACACGTTAGGTAAACTCATGGAAAAAAATAACAACAAAAAGACTTAACTGTTTCCTTGAAGCAAATAATGTAATTAACAAGAATCAGAATTCTGGCAGAAAACATAGACAGACAACCGATCATCTAGTAAGATTAACAGAATCAATCTACAGCAGATACAACAGAAAACAAACAACAATATCCACATTCCTAGACGTTCAAAAAGCCTTCGATTCAGTATGGCACGATGGACTAAGATACAAACTACACTCACTAAAAGTACCTATAACATTACTAAAATGGATCTCAAGTTTCCTAAATCATCGAACTGCCAGGGTAAAAATTAACGATTCATTCTCAACTAGTATCGGATTCTCTACAGGAGTCCCACAGGGTTCGGTACTCAGTCCAACACTTTACAACATAGTTGTTAATGACAATCATACACATCAACATCACAATATGCAGACGACATTGCCATTTGGAGTATTTCGAGCAACCCTGGTACAGCCTCGAACAGAGTCCAACACGCACTGGACTCTGTCTCCAAGTGGTGCAACTCATGGCACGTATCATTGAACCCAAGAAAGACACAAGCCACTGCATTTCACAAAAAAATAAACAAATCAAGGGAAAAATTAAATAATCTCAAGTTAAAACTTAATGACGTTAACATCACCTTCACAAATAAAGTTAAATTTCTAGAAATAAACTTCACTTCAAATTTAACATGGAACACGCATTTCAAGGACATTACAAAAAAGAGTTAATGTCAGAGTAAAATACCTAAACAAAATAGCCGGAACAAACAAAGGATGTTCACCTAAATCAATAATAACAATCTACCAAGCATTTATCACGCCACTCATGTAATACGGAAGTGCAGTAACATGTAACAAGAAACTACAAATTTTACAAAACAGAGCAACTAAAATTGTACACAGACTGCCAAGCTACACACCTCAAGAATTCCTACACAGCATTACCAAGTTACCAACAATCAAAGATTGCATTACATTGCCACAAAATTTTACAGAATAACCAAAAATAGGAACACACAGACCAAACAGTTCAAACAATTAGCTCCAACACCAGAAACTTGGAACACGTACACATCACCATTCAATTACATAAACAGCCTAGAAAACACATAAAACACTCACCAAGCAACTGAAAATAATTTCTTTTTCAGCTTTGGGCACTGGTCA